CTCAAAGTGAACTGTGGGGGATTGTTACTTAAGGAAAATCAAGAAAAGCATTTTTCCATGATAAAATTAAAGACTATAAAGGAAAAACAGAATTTTGGAAAATTGCCTCTGTGAGTATGTTAGTTTCACTGTATAAAGATGTGCTTTAATTATAGTGATGGTATTAATAAATGTGACTTTAAAATAATTAATTATAAAATAATTTTCCCATTTGGAAAGTCTTCATGGTGTGTGTGTGTGTGTGTGTGTGTGTGTGTGTGTGTACATTACCAGGGTTGGGTGTTTGACTGACTGGAACCTGGAAATCAAAGGACTTGGGCCCTCAACTGCTTCTTCTCAGAGTGCCTATTATGTGGAAGCTAGAAACAGAATCTGGAACAGTCGGAACTCTATACCCAGGTACTTCCCTATGGAATTTGGGCATCCCAAGAGATGTCTTAACAGCTTGGCCAATTGTCCATCCCATAAAAATTGTTCTGAAGTTAAATTGTATGCCAGTCATAACCCACATAAGCAAAAGTTGTTCGCCATCTACGGTAATTTCTAGGAATGTGGTTTGGTTCCAAAGTGAAAGCAGTGAAGAGCTGCTGGTCCAGTGTATCTTGGTTAATATCTCTCTGATCATGCATTCTGGTCTCTTCAGAGACATGGTCAGAATGAGATCATGTGCTAGACAAGGATCAATATTCTTCAGCCCAACAAAGTTCAAGATGAGATTTTTGATTGGGTGAAGACTACTTGGAGTCTTCATTGCATCCAAACCCATCCCAGTCTGTGCGTGAAGAAAGATCATTTCTCTCTGGGACTCCAGCCTGTCTTGTGCTCCATGGCCAAGATGTGGGTACTCTCTTTCTTCTCTTGGGCTGGTCCCATACAACCCCAGAACGGACCAAATATAATCATGAAAACTTTATCAAATGATCCAGGAAAGCAAATGATCCAGGATGCCAAGCCCTTCTTTTTTTTTTTTTTTTTTTTCGGATAAGCCTAGCCTTTTGCAAATAGCATCTTAGATTTGAACTGAATGCCTTTTCAATGTCCATTTTAACGAAAAAGAAAATGTTAAGACAAACTGAAAACAAACTATTTTTCCTTCCATTAACCTTTTAAAGCCAAAATGTGGAATGAGTATTTCTTTCTTTGCCTCAGTTTGATTCCATTATATTTGCATAATTGAGAGCTCAAATAAAACCTCAAGAACACAGTCTCACTTTAGACATTCAAGTGTCCAAATTAGAGTAATGGTCAAATTCAAAATGGGAAAATAGTACTTTCCTGTGCTTGGCTCTATTGAAAATGCTGCTCACACCATGTTCCTCTCTCATTGTCTGGCATTTTCCTTCTCCTTGCCTTTGTTCGTCCCTCTCATTCTCTCTACTCTTGGTTCAGGTCAATTACAACTGTTTCTCTTGCCTGCTTAAAACAGGCATCAATCAAACTTGACCTGTTAGTTGTATAATCTCACTTGTTGTCAGAAGAAATAAGCACTTCTAAAAGTTAGTGAATGAGCACCCTGGGTTTCCTAAGGAAGTAAGAACTTCCTTCCCTTTCCTCTTCTCCCCTGATCCTCACATTTCTTCCACACGGAGATTAGGAGCACCATGACTGCAGAGGTCAGTGTGAGTCTCTGTTACCATCAACAGACAGTGACGGGGATTAAATATTTTGAATATGCCATGGAATGAATCCCCACCCCAAACTTAGAGAGTCATGGGCTGAATGCTGGGGTGAAATGATACGCTTCTTTGGTTGGCTGCTTTCTTACTCCACCCCTCTTGGGTAAGTCCAGCGAATCTGATGTCCCATGTCCCTTCCATGAGTGAGAAGGTTCCCATGCTGATGGAACTGAGATTGACAGCATCTCGTCAAGTCATAGATGCCGAATACACAAAATCCTAGTTCAAAACAAATCTATCACACACAGTTTGGTCTTGTTTCAGATCTTCAAAAACTAGTCATTAATAACTGCATTTTTAATTGGAAATTAATATTAGCCTCTGTCATAAGATTAGGACAAAGATATACACAGGGGTTTTTGAGACATCATAGAATTGATTACATGACTTACAAACACCTTGGCAACAATTCTGAAACAATTCTGAAGGCCAAGTGTTTGTGTTTCTATGACTAATTATGCATGTATAATTATAAACACACACACACACACACACATATATATATACACACACATACGCTTATATGTATATGTACAAGTTCTAGAACACTTGGCATCCTGTTTGGCACCATTAAAATACGTAAATAAACGACAGTTTGTGTCACAGAGAACACAAACATCAAAAGGAAGATTCTGTGGCTGGTGGTGGGAAGTGGAAAAATACCGGAAAATCATCTGAACAGAAAGACAGTGGAAATGAAGCAAATTATAAGCTAGAGTTTTTCAAATATAAAAAAAATAAACAGTCCTATTTAATAACATTCAAAATTATGTTATTATGATCAAATAATATGCTCCCAATTTAAAACTTCCATCTCCTCTTGTTTTGTAAATTTATCTTGAAAATTGATTGACATAAAGTGATAATTTGTATTCAACTGTTTAAAAAAAATAATGACAATTTCACCCAAGAGATTGTTGCCTAATGCTGTAAATGAAATAAGCAAGAGGCGATTGCCAAGACTGTCTCTAAACTTAGGAATTCTGTATAATAAGACACAACCTAATTTAGAAGTACATTTTTATAACAGTCAATTAAGAGCAACCAAGCTTCAGCCAATCACGTAAGTAAATCATGTCTAATTGAAGCCAATATCTAGCTATGACCAATCAAGGTATTGCTATAGTTTACTTGTGTGTTCAGGAAAGGTTCACTGTTCATGTTGCAGAATGATGCTGTCCAATTCCCTTTCAGTTAAGACTACTGCTCAGTTCATGAATCTTTCTGTTGTTAAAATTTGTTGCATTTACAGCCTAAATTGCTTTTATAGCACACAGAATCAAGGAAAGAAAACTATAACAAGCCACACAGTTTTGGATAAAGTTGGAGATATCATAATTAAGTCAGCTTTAATTTAGTATAGGTCATGATGTGTACGTAGCGTAACACTACTATATAATGTGTAGGTATAAATAGTTCCTAGTTCTGTCCAGTCATGAGTCCTAAAAGCATATCATCTTGGATCTCAGACTGGTCTTAAATGTCATTTTCAGTGAAAGGAACTAGAGATCCTTCTAAAAGTGGCCAGTTGTAGGCTTACTCTGGCTTATAAATGATGAGTTACAGCGTATCATAGGCCCCAAAATTAAAGGAGTGCTGAGACACAGTCAAACTTGCAACTGCCAAAGTCTAGGATACTACATTGTGTAATGAGGATTAATTGAATCTATAACTAGACATCTTTGAGTCCATACTGATGCAAATAACTGAATAGTAAATACATGGGAGAAAAGACACAGATTTATCGTACCAAGAATTCCCAATTATCTGTGAAGATACTCCCTTCCCAAGGAGATGGGGAACAGTTCTAAGCTCCTTTGTTTAAGGATGGGGAATACAATTAGTGACTTACTAGAAAAAGAGCTTAAAAGTAGGGGAGCACAAGTTGGAAAGGCAGAGTGGTGGGGAATCCGTTGGCCACTGCCAAATGCACAACCAGTAGAAGTCAACAACCTTGAGGAAAAAAAAAAACCCTAAGAAACTGTCACAACTAAGAAAAATTTCAGAAGATATGCTAGTTTAATGTAATGTGAGATTTTTAGTAGAATCTTTGAATGGAAAAAGACATCAGGAAAATTTTTGGAAAATCTAGTAATGTGTGGATTTTAGTTTAAAGGATAATTATATAGATATAGTTAGAAATATAGATAGTTGGAATATCTGTAATGAAACAAAAAGCCTGCTGAGCGCAGAGGAACACACATCAGAATGGAGACCTGTGGACTCCCGCGTCAGGATAAGAAAGGGTTGAGGAACCAGGGCTGAGTTCTACTACTGGGTACAGTTTAAACTCTTCCAGCTAAGTACATAACTCATTTTGAGAATGAGTTCCAAGTACGCAAAGCCAATGCCAAATGCAGAGTCTTTGTATGTGATTGTCTTAGTAGGTAGCACCAGAACTGCTGAGTTATTAAACTCCATCCCTGCATTTCCATGGAAAGCCCCCTTGCTGCTGAATGTTAGACTGGAAAGTATAGGTAATATGGATGTGCTTTAAAACAGAGTTTTGAAGGTTGCTAACTGGCTGGGCTTCTAGAATAAGCATGCATTGAATCCTTAAAATGAGAGCCAGGGCATGTTAAAATGGGGCCAATGAGCAGGCTAGTTTGGCTAAAATGGACTTACTGTACAAGTCTGGGTGTGACACTAGATGTTCAACAGACTTGCATGCTGGGGTAATCAGTAAACAGAGGATAAAAATGTCTAATTTTGAGAGTCTTTAATGTTTTAATTCTGTTTAATAGCTTATGTTTGATTTAATTATGAGAGAAATGTTAAGTAGATTTTTCCCTTGAAAACGGATTTTAACTCTATTTTTATCTCTTTACTCTCCGGTAAGATACTTTATGTTAGTTCAAAGTGATTTTCTTTTGTTAATGCCTGCCACTATATTTTGATTAACCTAACAATTTATAGAGACATTTAGCCAGGTTGATGTTATAAGCTTGTCAAGTAAGCAGTCAATTACGGTGAATGAATAAGAATTTTGGGGGTAATAAATATCTTTTCTTTTAAAGATTTATTTATTTTTATTGGAAAGATGGATATACAGAGAGGAGGAGAAACAGAAAGGAAGATCTTCCATCTGATGGCTCACTGCCCTTAGTGGCCACAATGGCTGGAGCTGAGCTGATATGGAGCCTGGAGCCAGGAGCTTTCTCCAGGTCTCCAATGCAGGTACAGGGTCCCAAGGCTTTGGACCATCCTCGACTGCTTTTCCAGGCCACAAGCAGGGAGCTGGATGGGAAGCAGGGCCACTGGGATTAGAACCGGTGTCCATATGGGATCCTGGTGCATGCAAAGCTAAGACTTTAACCACTGCACTATTGCGCCGGGTCCAATAAATATCTTTTTTTTTTTTTTTTTTTTTGCCCAGAGTTTATATATTCAGGTACTTCACTTCCAATGAGCTTTACATGACTAGGAAAGGACTGATTCTGTTGTATTTGGATGGGAGCCTCTAAAATGGCCACCAATGATCCCACTCTTGGTAGTAACAGCTTTGTTAATTTCTTTTCCTTAACGTGCGTGGTACCTAATGATCCACTTAAAAAAATGGATGCAATTTTAAAGACTAGGTTACAAAAACACTACCTTCCACATCTCTACCTCTTCTTTCAACTTCTGCCCTGGACGAAGATGGCTCTTACATTGTGAATAGCCTTACATGGAGAATCAAGAGCTGACATGTCCAGCACACAGCAGACAGGCCCGGAGGCCAGCGTGCAGCTACGAGGATGAACCTGCACATCTCCCAGTCACTCTTGGCATGATCGCTGTTGCTGCTGCTGCTGCCTGAGGACAGATTCCTGAGAGAGTTAGGTATCTTTCCCTGAACTTCGTATTTTTACACCTAGTAGCCACTCACCCTGGAAAATGTTGTAAAAATTTAAGACGCTCAACAAATGAACGAACATAAAAGAACAGTGGAATAAACATGTAAATGAGTTAATGACAGTGTTATGTGAATCAAATAATTACAAATGCATCTAAATCACTTCATGACATGTGTCAATAAATCAACTAATTATGTTTGAATTAATCAATCAATCATGTTTATCAACTTGGGAGAACCAATTAATAGCTGTGTGCCCTTTATCACTTGCTAAATAAATAGAAGAGAAACCGAGTGCAACAATTACACAAGCACTTGTGTTCAATAGGGAAGATATTTTAAAATCACCATTGTAAATGTTTGTATTAGACAATTTGTTGAATTGTAATAAAGTTACAGAGTAAAATAAAAAATGGAAAGTAAAATAGCAAAAAATCAGTGCTTTAAATCACAGCAATTAGTATTTTTTACTATATAAAATTTATGTAGTTATTATTATGTTTCATAATTTTGCATGATAGCATGTTAAAGTGATTGCATGATAGCCAATGTAAGAGATTGAAGCTAGACAGGAAAAGAGGGTTGGGTGCAAAATATCATTGTGCTCTTAAAACTGTATAGATGAAATTGTTTCCTTTATAAAATAATAAAAAAAAAGATTGTCGCAGGTTAGTCTTGAAAGAAACCACAGACCAGAAGAATGATTTTGACTTAGCACAGTAAGGATTCTGCAGCTTGCAGCACTGAGGAAGCAGGCTCACGTGAGGAACTGGTGGGTGCACTTGGGGCAAGGAGTATAAGGATTCAGACTGACAAGGGAACAATTCCATTTGAGAGGATGGCTCATCTCTGAATTGGATTGCACCAGAAAATTCTGTTTTAGGAACTGGCTATCCTGGCACCTAGCCTGACTCTGACCACATCTGAGACAAGAATGCTACTATTAGTTCTGCAACTTTCCCAAATCAACTTATGAAATTAAGTAAATAGACACAAAAGACATTCCTAAAATGTCTTAGAATGTATTCGTTTATATCAAGTGTTTTGTATCTGGCTGTAGCTTTGAAGCAAAAAGAGATAAAATATGAGGTGATAATGAAATAATGTTTAAATTATTCATGTTTATTTTAAATACTGTAATAGCTACTATATGTATTAAAGCTTAGGAAATGCCATTTTAAATATTATTTTATTGAGAATGATGTTCTAAATGAGCATCCATCCCTAAGCACCCGTACGTTTTATGGAAATAAATGGAGTTTAATACCTGATGCATATCTGTTTTATGTGTACAGTGTTTCTGACACGTAAACAATTGGCTCTGACTATGAAGGCTGCATCCCACTGGCCTCCTGCCTCAGATGGGACATGTTTTATTCATTTGTGACAATCCCATGGCACCAGTCACGCCCTGCAGCCTTTATGTGGCTCAGGACTGACCCTGTAATTATTTCTCAAGTCATTTCCAGACTATCTCATAAACCATTCTTAATGGCACTGTATGGAAACAGATATAAATTAGTTCCATTTCCAAGGGGTTTTAAGAAATGTAATCTTGTTGTAGGCGGCTCTTAATTTAGCATCTCTGCTTTTATTAGAGGCATAGAATATATATATATATACACACATATATATGTGTATTTATTTATTTATTGAAGATAAGGGTGTTGATGCTGTACTCAGGGAAAACATTGCATTATAAAGGTAGAGCTTCTTCTTTTAGCTCCATTTTTCCCCAGTTTTTGGTGTGTGCTTGGGGGGAGGTGGGAGTGGAGTAATCACCACTCCTCTCCCAGATGCTCCAACTTTCTTCCCTGTTTGGCCAGCTACTCCATTAATACTTTGATTAATGGAAGTGCTTTAGAATTTCAAGTGCCCTGATGATGAGCCAATGTCTGCTCCAGTGAAAGTAATTAGCAGTAAAAACAGGATGATCCAGGCTTCTGAAGGCTTTGGCAAAATCATCACTCTGATCATGCTCCCACTGCTGTGGGAAAGAGGACAGTTCCCATTGCTGGCATTGTTCGTGACAACACAGCAACTGAAAGGAGGCAGAGTTCTGGAGCCCCCGTGCTGCTCCCCAGTGCCTTGCTCTGCACAACCGCCTTCCTAGCTGAGAGTCTGGAATCAGTTCTGGGAGAACAAACTGAAATGACCGTGATGTCTTTTTCTCACTAGGAGTCAAAGGTAATGTTCTATTACTGCTTCAGCCTTCTGCTTTCCCACGGACTTATTCCTGCCTTTTGTTTGTGTCTAGTCTTGCTTTAGATGTTCTTTTTGAAAATTTACCTTCGTTGATTTCTTTTCATCTTGTGAAATAAATTGCTTGAACCGAAGTCTTTGTGCTTACTAACTAGGGAAGGATCCTGTACTTCTCGCGGCTTCACCGAAGTCAGGAACAGCAGCTTCCTCAGCTAAGCTTCCATGCACCGTAGTGAAAGCACAACTGAAAGACTCAAAGCTGTGTTATAAGTAGTTCAATAAATGCAGCGTTCGATTTGTTGAGAATTTATGTTTCTATTCACCTAAACTGCTGCTCTGCTGTAAAATTCTATGTATTGTGGTATTGTGGTGAGCTCAACTTTAGGGATGATCTTGGTAGCAATAACATGATAGTTAATATCAAGAAAGTAATACATTTAATCTTCTATCCATAAAGAATTGCATCATCTCCATTTTCATTTGTTTCAAACTATACTTGGTTTGCAGAGTTAAAACTTAGAAATAAAAGATAATTGTATAGAATTCATTCTTTACAGAGTTGTGATAATATGCTTAAGATTAGTTTTGTCTTCGTTTTGGGAACAATCAGTGTTACAAGCCCAAAATGGGAAAAAAGACAATGTTCATTTTTACTTTCTGCCAGTGGAATTGACTCATTTTTCATTCCATTTTTCCTTTGTCATCTTTTCATATGCACATTTCTGTGACCATGTGAGTGTATACCTCACTCTGATTGATTCTCATGTGCTTTCTCTGAGATATTAAGTCACATTCTGGGTGAAAAGTTTAATGCATTTGAATTTGAGTGATATTCTTAAGATGGAATTCAGGAGTCACATACACATGGGAAACACGACAATGTAATTTTAATGCCTTGAGCTAAAATGCCAGTTGGCATCATTTTAAGCCACTCAGTCCATTTTGGTTAGCAATTAATTTTAAAAATGTGTGTTGTATTTGGGGTTTGATTCTGGCCAGGGAAACTGAAAGATGAGCCTGTAGTCTTATTCCCCAAGAAGTTTAGAATCTAATCCTTCAGATTGATGAGCTATTTTCTGCTGTCATTTTTTAAAGCAGTATCTTAGTACTTCTTCCGTCATGGATCTTTTTATTTGAGCATCCTCCTTCCCAACTGAGCACAGCAGAAGTACTCTGGACATTAAAGCTGTTGATTCACTATGACAGAAAATCGAAGAATTTGTTTTCATATTATGTGACACCGAGTTAAAGGAAAAAAAGTAAGAATAACTACAAATGTTTGGAAGAACATCTACAACTGCCAGCAATTACTCTAAGCTAAATAACAAATAACATACATGATTAATTTTTGCATCAAAATAAATGTAACTGTAAATTCCATTTTCTTTAAAGTTTTTGGAATATCTTTGTGTAACTTGCAATAATACAGTATTTCCAATTTCTGCTTTAGGGAGAGATCATACACTTGATGTTACTCATACAATGCACTGTCTGAGCTTGGACTCAGAGTGGTTGGTTTCTTGGCTGTAGTTTACCTGGTACTTCCCCTTCATCTGCTAACTGTTCAAACGCAAAGTCTCTTGATGCTAATTGCACGTGTCATTATGTGTCTGCTGGTTAGACGCCGCCCATAGAGCGCTCTTGTTAGAAAAGACCACAGAAAGAATTTGGAAAGTATTTATAGTTATATGTGGTTTTACATCACCCCCTTTTATCTTTGAATACTTCATTTTGCTCTATTTTATGATTGCAATGGAATACATTTTTTGTATTTTAACTCTTGGTTTCTTCTTTATTTTATTGATTTTTATTTTGTCTATTTATTTATCAATTTATCTATCTATCATCTTTCTGAGTCTGGCAGTTCGATTTGGGAGATCTCCAATGAAACTTTGTCTGAGGTGTTCTCAGACCAGATTCTTGTATGTACTAGCAAGTACAGGGCCAGGCACAGTCCATCAGCTCGATCTGTTGGTGGTTGCAATTGCTAGGTTGGTTCTGTTCTCAGCCCCGACTTCCACTGGAACCAATGGGTGTTGCAGTCCAGCCTGGTTCTGCCCAGCACATACTCGGCCCTCACATAAACCAGTGGGAGTTGCAGCCTAGTCGGAACGACCCACAATAATCCCCACCAGGCCCGCCCCCATCCTGGTTTACCAGTATGTGTAGCACACCAGTCCAGTCTGTCCCACATCCCATTTGGCTCTCGTACATGTCAATGGGCATTAAATCCCAGTTTCATCTAACCAACTCAACCATCCAGCCCTCACTGGTTGTTGTCGGTCTCTGTCCAGCCATCCCAGCCCTGTCCTAGTTTTTGTGCCCTCCCGTGGGTGTGGTAACCCAAGAGGGAGGAGCCCACTATTTCCCTCCCAGGCCTCTCCCACTCCCGGATTATGCACTCTTCAGGTGGTTCTGCGGTTTGACTTGAGAGAATTAGCCCCCAGTGCCAGCTTCTGCCAGCTAATGCTGCGGCTAAGCCCAAACAACCCTCACCCACTCTGATTTTGTTTGCACCAGTGGGAACAGTCAGCCTAGCCTGGTTTTTCCTGATCTAGTTCCTATGAGGCCCACAGGTGTCGCAGCCCTGCCTGGTCTGCTCTGTCCCCATCCCAGCTAACGCTCTCCAGTGGGAGCAGCTGTCTAGCAAGGGAGCTCAGCCATATTTCCCCTGCTGGCTCCGCCTCCTCCCTTCCTGGTTCTCACGCTGTGGTCACATCCAGTACAGGTAACCTCACCTTGGCATTCTATATTGTGTACTGATTTTTGTTGCAACCAAACCTGGCTTGACCCACACTCTGTTCTGGTGCTCGGATTTGCCAGTAGATGACATGAACTGATTCAGCCTGGTCTGCCCCCGACACATGCCAAATGTATGCCAGTGGGCAACTTTCCATGGCCTGTTCTGGGCTGTTTCCTATCATGTTTCTTGGGCTTACCTGCCGGGTCTGAGTCCTGCCAGAGGAGTTGCCCAGGCTCCTCCATCAGAACCTCTCCCAATGCCAGATTTCACGCATACCAGGGGTTCCATGAGCCAGCCCTATTAGTTCACCTCCTATCCTAGCAGGAACAGAGACCATGATCTTTGACTACCTGTATAAATACATTTCCTATGGTTCCTTACTCTTCATATTTTTCATCTATCAAAGAATGGATTGTATTATTTCTCAGGTGTATTATAAATATTAATTTCCTAGTTTATTTAAATAAAGTGTATTCTTAGACATTTTTTAAAGTTAGCATTTTAAAATTCATTTATAAAAATTTCCAATTCCTTTTATTTGTAATTTTAAAAGAAGGTAAAAATATTTGAGAGAAAGCAAGCCTGTGGTTGCCTGGCAGTCAGTGTAATAGCAAAGGTTGAAGGCAAATATGGACAAGGCACAGTTTGTGGTAGTGGAAATATGTATCTATTTTTAAGAAATCAATTTTATTTTTGATGATATTTATGTAGTTAAGGATGCATGTCCACATGGGCCACCGAACAGTGTGGGACGGGTTAAAGAATGGGGGAAAGTGGATGAGACAATTGCCTCCAATTTTCTTTTTTCCTGATTCTGGGGAATGGAGAAAGAGTGCCACTCTCAGCAGCCTAACTACATTGAGTACCCACGGATAGGGGACGGCCACTCACTGTCATCCTATGGTCCCTAATGTGGATGGATCATATTCTGAGGGTATTTTTTTTAAATGCAGAGAGGAATAAACAGTTCACTCCCTCAGTGCCTGCATTGGTCAACATTGGTGCAAAACTGAGGAGATCCATCTGGGTCTCCTATGTGAGTTGCAGGGGTCCAAGTATCTGGGTAGTCTTTTAAGACTTTCCCAGGTTGGCAGCAGTGAGCTGGATTGAAGTGGAGCACGCATATGGTACATAGCAGTTGCAGGTGGTGGCTTTATATTTTTAATCCATGTGTTATGACACTACCTGATGAATGATATTTTAACATTATAGTTGATGAATGCTTCGGGTGTGAAAGAAGCTGTTGAACGTTTTCTTTTTCATGCTTAGCATTCTATATTTCAAACATTAAAAAAGTAGGCTATGAGTTAGTCTTTTCATATACTCATATTTTTGCTCTAAAAATGTAAATCATTTGATTATTTTCCTGCTGGAATGAGAATCAATACACTGTCTGGGAGAATCTCTTGGGAAGACTTCCTCCTAACAAACCATGTGGAACTTCAAGTTTTATGAACGCAAAATCACGACAAAATAACTCCATTAGCATGAATCTATGCCCTACGCACTAGATTGTCCTGTCTGTTTGTAATTTAATTTTCAATTGTGTGCAGTTACTAGAAATAGTTTTATTGATAGTAACAAAAATAGTTTTCATCTACCCTCAGGATGCACAACAAACAAACATGTTGTATAGTGTTTAAAATAACATGAAAATGTGAATTGAAAGAAGGATTTATCACAAACAACATTAAATTCAAGGCCTAATATATTGATTGAAGTTATTTGCAAAAATTTGGTGCTGTTTGTTGACAAAGTTGCTCCAATCAAGTCTTCTTTTTCTTTGCCGTAATTTATTTGTTGTTTAGTTCTGATCTGTAATTTGGTTGACTTGAAAAATTGAGATGTGCAAAGAAATCATTATTGGAAGTAGGAAATAAGTAAAAGAGGTGCCACACAGAAAGGACAGGAAGTGCAGAAATGTGCAGAAGAATAGCAGAAGAATGAGCGAGGTGTGTGTGCTTTTCTGTGTGTGCATACATATGGGGACACTTGTCCTATAACCGCAGAAGGGGGCGTGAAAATGTATCAACCATAATTCATGTCCTTTTAGTGAAAGGAGGAAGCTATTGCCAGATAATACAGTTACTCCTTGCTTTCCAGAATAATGTGCAGTCCATGAGCTGCAGAGTCAATTGGTACTTACAAATGAGGGATCCTTGATTTTTCTGTGAAACGACATAGCAGCTCTGGGTGGTAGTTGAGTCCAAAACAAATTGAGGTGCATTTCTCCCTAGATGCTGGAAGCTTCATCCCTGTTACCAAGGAAACATCCTCCCTCAGCAAGGGTCACCTTTGGAAACAATCAGAAGATTCAACTTCAGATCAGTAAAGGAATGCCAAAGCCTGAACTTCCTAGTGTTGCTCCTGCTTTAAACGTTGTTTTCAACAAACACTGACGATATGATTACTAGCTAATGGGCAACAGAAAGGCAAAATTGAATGTGTAAATCTTCATATCCAGTAGTTTTCAAGCTCTGCTCAGGGAAGCTTGTGCTTGCTAGTGGAAATGCTTTGAGTATGGGAATGCAAAGGGTCAACGTTCTGGAGAACTGTCACATTTAAAGGTGAAGTTCCTTGTAAGATTACATAGGAATGAAAGATTCCAGTCCAAAAAATTATGGAGCGATTACTTCTGCAAACACATGGCATCATTTTTGTTTGAAAAAATGAATAGATGGGTAAAATTGTTTTTCAACACAAAATCTGCACATTTTTAATGCATGATAGACATTTTCAGAAATTATTCAAATTATATGCCAAATCATAGTACCTTGGGGAATAAAGGTAACAGAACACAGTGCTTGTATTTAAGGTGAATGCCTAACCTTGCACTTGAAATGTCTACACTCCAAATCCAGAGGACCTGAGCTCAGTCCTTGGTACTGGTTCTAGAATCTAGCTTCCTGCCAATGCTGGCTAGCAGAAAGCAGGGATGGCTCAACTTGTCAGATTTGTGCCATCTGTGTGAAAGGGCTGTCCATAGACAAGGACTGCTGTGGCCATTTGGGGAGTGAACCAGAGAATGGTGTTTCTCTCTCTTTCCCTCCCTCTCTCTACCTCCCCCTCCCTCTCACATAAATTAAATAAATAAATGACAAGTAATTGAATTTTGTTATAAGAATTCCCATTATCTTTACTTTCAAAGTTACTGTTAAGTGGTTTTTTTTTTTGTATCAAACATTTCCTAAAATCACAGTCTTATTTCTTTGCCAGAAAATTTAAATTAGACAAATGCAGGCAGTTCTCCTGTCTGCTAGTGTTATAAGCCACGGTGAAATACACCTTGTTAATTCTCCTTTTAGAAGCCACCAGAATGAAACAAAATGCAGAGAGCACCAATGTTTGAGAGCTAAAGCTTTTTGGCATCATCTAGGTTAGCCACCTGTTTTAGCCTGCCTTCGCTGAATAAATTAGATGCTCTTGGGAAAGTGTACGCAGCTGACTGGTCTGCTTGGTTGCCAAGGCAACCATTTTTCTCTCTGCTCATGCCTCTGAAAGAGTTCATAACCCATTAGTGTTCCTCTGGGCAAGAACATAAGAAAAATCCCTTTCCTTTTTTCCCCTCTGATTCCCCCCTCCTCAAGCCTTTACGTTTCTTTCTTTTTAAAATTTCTGGTAAAGATGATGTGGCCGATAGATACTCTTAGTATGTTTATTCAAACTGCATATTTTCTATATATTTGGAAAAACCTTTTGGAAAAACCTTTTAGTAGTACATAAACAACAGCTAATTTGAGGGACATAAATGATGATGAATAAAAAAATAGAAAATATTTTCAGTCTAAGTATTTTCAAGCCCTGGATATTTACAAAATGGAATTTGTCTAAGTCAATATATGCAACGGCACGCCTTGTCTGAGTTCAGAGCACAGGAAATGAATGAAGAGCTACTTTCATAATTTATTTCAGCTGTTATTCCTGTTAGGGATGTTTCATCCTGCAGAGAAAATGCAATGAGTGAAGATGATGATTTAGCAAAGGCTTTATTAAATAAATCAAAGTGTGAAGAGAAGGGCTCTGCTCATTTTCTGAGTAGCCAGATGCCATGGGACATGTGAGAGATGGCTGCCTCTATGCAACGGTGACACCATCAGAAATCAATACAGGTTTTCACCTCCCATCATCATTGACCTCCAGCCCACGAGTTGGTTCTTGTTTTAAACCCACAGCTTTTTTTTCCTTCCTGTTTTCCACATGCCGTCATTTCATATTCCAATTTTTATGCACTACCATCCTCCCTGCAACTCCCACCCTCTCTCCCCACCCTCTCCACCATATCTTGAGCTGTTGCCTGATGCTGGGAACATGCTATAAAAATCTCTCTGTTTTACTGCTCACATAAGTTCTGTGACACAAATACCATGTATTCCCTTTACCAGTGAGGATTCTGTGGTCAGAGGGTAGTAGCGTTATTACCCAGGGTTGGTGTGATTTCAGAGTCAGGCTTCCTCAGTGTGCTATAGTGCCTATAAAGCTCTGCAGTAATATCAGTGAGAGTTATCCTTTCTGAATATCAAAATATCAGGGAAGGAAGGTGGGAAAAGACGACTGGAGCCCATGGGAAATGCAAGTGAAAGATTTAGCCAATGAGCCATTACCCCCAAGTCTGAATATGTGTTTCTTTTGTGCCACAAACTCAGCTTAGTTGCAGAGGGCTAATAGGTAATAGTCTAAGTCGTTTAGGTTCTGTCACAAACTCTTACAAAGTTTGTATTGAAAGTCACCTTAACGTGTTTTCAAATTAAACTATTGTTTCAGTATCCATTGCCATTCAACCAGAATCACTCTCAGTGTCTTGCACTGCTGCTTGTCTCACTTGTTCTTCTGTTTTTTCTCTTGCTTATACCCCAGACTTGGCCATACCACAGAAGGTATCCTCTCAGCTATAACCCCATTATCTCAACTCTGATTTTTTTTCTCTACCTGTGATACACTGGTCAGATTGAACAACAAACTTGTTCTGGTTGATTTCTCTTAGTTAACATTCTATGACTACCAGCCTGATGAGGATTATCCTATTTCTTCGATGCTTTGCCTGCTGACCATCAAACCGAGAAATGTTTTACCTATCTATTAACTCCAGTGACAAGCTGTTTAGGAAAAATTTCCTCCCAAGGAATTCCCAGGCAGAGAAGTCTAAATTGCAGGCTCCCTGAAAACACACGCATCTGCATTTTGTCACCCCTTACTGCTGTCTGCCTATGCTTAACAAGTTGTTTCTGTGACATCTGCAGTCAAGTTGCTGAGTGCCAACCAGAGCACCAGCACCAACCAGGAGAGCAGCTGCCTGTCAGCCATGAAAGCCAGAAGGCACCTTCCACCAGCATCACAAATCCTCTTCCACCCTCTTCGAGTCAGGTAAATTTTGGTGTTTTAAATACAGATTTTGATTACTTTTTTGTGTGTAAAAGAAGCAATATTGAATCCATTCACTAGTGTGTGTCCATCCCCGGGGTGCCAGAGATATTTCATCACATTAACAAAAATGATTTGCAGCATTAGGAATGCAGGTAGGCCTGGAAGAGATTACTATCCCACAGGACAAAAGACACGTAAAGCAGCCAGAAAGGCTGCCCCTGTGCCCCAGGGGGAAAGCAGCCAGAAACACTTTCCCTAAGGCCCCAGGGGCAGTGAAAGCTGCTCCTTAAAGTTAAGGGAGCAGATTTCATTCTCTCCTCTCTCCACGCCCTCCTGCTGCCCCTGGGATTGTAACTTACTACCGCTGGAACCCAGGACTTTAAGTCCGGGTTACAATGACTCCAACCCAGTCTGTGCTTGAGAGACTGCTTAGCACCATGCACACAGAGGCCTGCTCAGAGCACTAACATTGAATCTCTTACGTAGGTTCTGCACATAAGAGGTGATTAGGAATCTGCACATTCTGCCCATTTTGGGAGCAAGGAGGTTCCTCCAGCTTTACATCCTTGCACAGATGGTGACTGAAGGTCTGTGAACCCTGCCAGGTTGTATTCCCTACCATCTGGGCATTGTCTGTCCTTTGGCTGCAGGCCCGTGTATGAATGAAAATCAGAGCTCGGAATTCCAACTGTCTATGTACCAGGGTGAATTCTGTGAGTTCAAGTCCTCATGTGGGCAGTGACCTGGTATGTGTATGCTCTATCAATCCTAGGTCTTTGGGCCTCTGCACAAACAGGTTGGGACTCTGTGGGCTCCTATTTCCTGGCCATTTTTCTGCCTTCTGCATCTCACATATGAAGTAGCTGGGGGAATATGGGATCCATGAGTTTGATGGGTATCTGTTATTGCTACTGTTCATTATAGTGTTAAGAAGGAATAAAAAGGTCTGGTGCAGTAGCGTAGCGGTTAAAGTCTTCACCTTGCATGTGCCAGAATCCCATATGGGTACCTGTTCATGTCTCGGTGGCCCTGCAAAAAATACAGTTGACATCCCTAAAATGGATTAAACCACATAGAAGGAAGAGTGTATAGACGTGAGGACAGGTCTTTTGAAATATTCCAGTCAGAGAAGATGAGAAAATATAGTGAAAGGATTATTTTAAAATTGAAGGCAGCCTTTGTGATGCTTAAAATACTAGTAAATGAAAATATTAGAAGAATGAGAATTTCTGAGGTTAAAAAAGCAGATAAAGATACGTAAAATCGATTCACTGAAATAATACCTGAAAACTTTTCAAACCTGGATAAAAATATTGTTGTGCTGGGATTTTGCGACCCCAGAAAATCATTAGGAGTCTGAAGTCAATGCAAATACACAAAGGCGGTTTATTCAAAACTAACCTAGGTTCCCAGCCCAGCAGGACGAGGGAGCAGCAGCAGCCGCCCCAGCTGCAGCCACTGCCACCTCCAAGGTGGCCGGAGCAGGAAAAGCTGCAGCAGAAGGTCCAAAAAGAAAGGCCGAGATTCAACAGTTCAGGGTTCTTATACATTTCAGGCCAATGTCCTGTAATTATACAGTCATGATTGGCCAGTTTTATCTTTTAACTTTTAAAAAGAGCAAGTTGGCAGCCTTCTATTGGTGGGTTTGAAGCAAGCAACTTTCAAAAAGTACAAATTGATGGGCTATCGGGCAGGTAGGGGCTACCTTCCTGAGGAGTGCTCTGCCTACGTGACCGGCCAGGTGTCCCGCAGGGTGTCACATAGACTGTCGGGCCTGGAGTTCACACGGCCCCCCAGGCAAGCAAAAAGGCAGAAATCACAAAGGCAGAGAACACATGGGTTCTTCAGTATGTATGTAATCAACCGTGGGAGGATTGCAGGGTCCCACGCAGACATGCCCAGAAGAGAACCCTCACACACACTGCGGTTGAATTCTCACAATTACAATGCAAAGAGAGAATTCTAAAATTTACAAACAAAAATCAAGAAGTTATTTTAAGGGGTCCCTCATTATGTTAATAAATTTCTTCATCAGAAATATTTTCAAAACACATGAAAGCTGAAGAAATGTATCATCACTTGACTAGACTTTCCGAGTATATTTTTTGAGAGTCATGCACCCAGATACAAAGAAAAACAACAGATATAATGAAAATATGCACAAGTATAAAATGTCTTACGAAAGAACAATATGTTTTCAAAACAGCAGAAATATATACACAACTCATTCCTCAGCAGGAATAGCTTCTGCGTGTAAATAGACAAAAAGCTCCAGCTGAAAGGTGTAAGCTAGTTTAGGGAAGGAACCAACAGCTCTTTCCTTCTTTCTTTGTCACTCTGCATTATATATATATATATATATAAATCTTTTCAGGAAGTACAGGTTGATAAAATAAAATAAAATAACGCAACAATTTGTAATAGAAATACCTTACCAATAAAGATAAAGTCTGCTATGACAGTGGCAGGACTCTGTTACTACTGGACAGATCAACCAGACCAGAGTCAGCAAAGGCACAGCAGACCTCACCGACGCCCAGGGGAAATGGAGCCCGCAGACCTCTGCTTCTATCAGAAACTTCAGCGTGCACATCCTCTTCGTGAACACGTGGGATGGTCTCGGGGAGACGAGCCACAAGGCAAGTCTGACATGTTTGAAAAATTGAAATCTTATCCAGTACTTTGTTCTGACTACAGTGTGATAAAATTAGAAATCAGTGGAGAACAAGTTCAGAAATTGCACAAATACACAGAGACTGGGCAATGTGTCCCTAAAAGAGCAATCAGTTATTGAATGAATAAAAGGGAAAAATCTTGTTCCATTTTGCATATTTTTTCCTTCATTCTGCTCATAGAATGTATTATATTTGTTGATTCATCAGTGCTGAGATATCTTCCAAATCCTGGGATAAATACTAACAGGTAAGAGTGAATGCTGTTATTGTCGTGTTGTTAGATTGATTTGTGGGTTTTTGTTGAGAATTCTCACATCTTTGTTCATCAGAGATGTTTGTCTCCAGGTTTACTTTATGTTTTGTCTTCTCTGATTTTAGAATCAAGGTAACCCTGTCCTTACAGGCAGAACCTGGAAGAGTCCCTTCCCTTTTAATTTTTTACACTAATTATCTAAGGATTGTTGTTGGCTTTCCTTGAAAATTGAGTTCAGTAGGGCTGTTTAACCATCTGACCCACTCTTGTCTTTATTTAGAAAATTGTAAATATTGATGCTAGTGGTCTGTCCTGGCTTTCACTGTCTTCATGGTTTAATTTCGATAAGTAATATATCAATGTCTTCCTGTTTTGATCCAGCTTCCTGTTAATGTGCCTGGGAAAGCAGTAGAAGATGGTCCAAACCTTGGTGCATGACACCCATGTGGGAGACAGGATGAAGTTGCTTGCTGCTAGCTTCTGGATGACCCAGACCTTGCTATTACCCCACTGTGTGAAGTCAGCTAGTCCATCGACTGTGTCATTTTGTATTCTAGATAAATTAATACCTCTCTTAAAAGTATGCAAGTATTGCATGTTAATACAGAATGGGGATTGGTTCTGAAGATGTTGATAATTATCATTTATAAAAGTGAAATATTGAAAAACAAAGTCTGGCTAAAGTGCATGTATGCAAGATAAATGCTGTGTTTTTGCATTGGTCATGTTAAATTTTATCAATTTAATTGAAAGTGTTCCACGGGAAGACCTGAGTCCAGGAAACAAGAACTGAGTTTGAATTCTACAGCTAATGGCAAGGCTGTTGAAGAATAAATGAAATTAAATGTGAAGAAAATAATGTATTGACAATACAGAAAACTAAAATAAAAGTTAAAGAAGAAAAATGGGGGAATAATAACCTTCATGTAGTGAGAATGAGAAAGGAACCATTAAAGAAAACGAGAAAGAAGTTCACACAGCCTGAGGAATGGTGAATTGGAAAGTAAGGTGAAGGAACTCTGAAAAGCAGGATGATCATCAACCGTTTTACATGTGGAATATAGATGTCAAAGGTACTTAATTCAGGAAGATCCAGGTGATTTCTAAATCTTTCTCTTGGAAATTACTTTAACAAGTTTGTGTAAAATAGAACAGAAAGTTTTTATTTTGATGCTACTGTTTTCTATGCACACAGTACAGGAGTCCCCTTTTCTTTGTATCCTTACAGTATTTGCTTTCACCTTTTAAATAACAGCCATTCTAAGATACGTGAGATATTTCATAGTGGCTTTCCTTGATGTTTCTATGATGATTTGTGACACCGAACATACTTTTAGAGCTCTGTTGAACATTTGTACCTCCTTTTGTGTATCTTCGTGTCTTTCACTCATTTTTAAATTGAGTTGTTTATTTTCTTGCTGTTGAATTGAGCACCATATATTTTGGATTATAGACCTATTATCAGATGTCTGGTCCATCCTTTAGGACTCTGTTTCCTTTATTGTACAAAAGCTTTGATTTGATGGGATCTTATTTATAGATTTTTGCTTTGCTTCTTGTGCTTTTAGAGTCCTGTGAAATTCTTAATACCACAATTTGATGGTTGATTGGTTCCTTTGTAGAACTCAAGATTTCCAAGTGTTGCTGGTTTCTGATCTCTGATTGCCATAGACTTTTAAAATTCCACCCTTTGAACAACTTAGGGAGCAAGAAAAAGATCATTGATTTATTTTTAATCCTAAAATGTCATTTTTAGTTGATAAAAATGATGCATAAATATGAAATAAAGGAAGGAAATTCAGAAAAATGAAGTGTGTGAACTATCTTAAGAAATGTCCCTCCTGAACGATAACAATGCTAAGCCTTTGTTTTGTTTTTTGACATTTAAATTTATACCTGATAGATTATTCTACATTTATTATTCATACTCTTTTCTATCATAATTTTTACTTTATGGTAAAAATGTAATTTCTGTCTGTCGTGTACATAATATCTCAAGATTTCTATCATCCTTTTTAGTGGTCACCTGAGATTTCACCGACATCATTTAATTTAGCTCCTGATGCACAGTTGGTTATTGGCATCTTAAGAAACGGCTTATAATGTTAAGATGGTTATATTTCTACAAATTTCTACATATTTTCTGATTATTTCCTTTGAATGTGAGGAGTATTAGTACGGTGGTATCAGTTAAACTTTAGTTACTACCTCATGAGATTATTGTTTTTTCTCTTATGCTGTTGCAATAGCGGATTTAATCTTTTTGTTTAAAAAAAAATTGTGTTTATGAATTTCATAGGCTATTAGGTCCTAATCACTGTCTCTATTTCCAGATGTTTATGCATGTCTTGCTGTCTTATATTCCAGCTGCTGGCCAACCTGGCCTTAGCACAACAAAGATCGCTTAATTCAATTAAATCACTAAAGAGGATTTTCCAACCTTGGGGAAGAATCATCTGTCTCACTGCTCAGGCTTACTAGTAGCTAGTCATCTACCACTGTATCTTTAAGGGATAACTTTGTTACTGGGATATTCTATCATATTTTCTCTTAAAAATCAACTGCTCACCTATTCTTGCCATAAATCTACTTTTGTCAGGAAATACAGCTCTTTTTTCAAATTTCTTTTTTTTTAATCGGAAAGGCGGATATACAGAGAGGAGAGACAGAGAGGAAGATCTTCCATCCGATGATTCACTCCCCAAGTGAGCGCAATGGCCGATGCTACTTCCGGGTCTCCCACGCGGGTGCAGGGTCCCAAAGCTTTGGGCTGTCCTGACTGCTTTCCCGGGCCACAGGCAGGGAGGTGGAAGGGAAGCGGGCTGCCGGGATAGAACCGGTGCCATTATGGGATCCCGGGCGTGCAAGGCGAGGACCTTAACCACTTGAGCCACTGTGCCGGGCCCAATAACAGCTCTTTTTATTCAAACATCTCAACTGTGTTTAAATCAATATTGAATTTTATTTGTAACAAGGAAGAAAAACTCTCCCTCATATGAACATTATAATAAAGCAAAACCATTTGAAGGATGGTTCTTGAACAAGATATATGACCAGATTCTGTGATTAAACTTCCAACTCTTGATATTAACTCACACACATATCTTTTTTTAAGTAAGAATCACACTGTCAGCATGTCGTCGAGAGAACCCACTCAAGTTGGGCAATGTTTCTGCCTAGTCTTTGGTTTTTGAGACAGAGAGTTCTCTGCCATAAAACTGAGAGCATAATGTTGATTGAGAGCCCTTGAGGGCATATTGTATCACAACAAATGGTTGAGACAGTTCACAGACTATTGCATTTCATAGTTCTTCCCTCCTCGTTACACTAGACCTAACGCCTAGAAATTTCTAGTTCCACATATATAGCAGAGGTTTAATCATGCACATATTTTCCAGATAAATTCTTTCTCACTTTTTCACTGGAGTGTGAGTTATTTAAGGTCACGGAATCTTTGTAAATGATGTTAGTATTCCCCACACTATATCCTGCCAGAAGATTTATTTGGAATGCAAGAGATACTGAATGAATTAACTTTTAGGTGTGAGTCATGCTTCCAAGGAGGAATGCGGACGTATCAAAGGTACAATAAATTTCTAAGCTTTTTCCTATTTTACTGCACCACATTTATTCAACTGTTTCTATGTTCACACACTTCATGGCTCAACCATGCAACGCCAAGTTGCATAATAATAGGATTAGAAAATCTTTAATATCAGTAGAACACCAAATGACAGGATTGATTGAGAACTGAATTAGAGTTAATAAGAAAACTATTCCCATCATTCAATTCTTAATCCCTATGCTCTTTAAATGAAACTCAGTTATCTTAAAACTCATGCATCTTTTCTGTAATGAACTCATGATCCACATTTTCAGGGATGTATTCCTTTCTCAACTTGACAGAGTGTGTTGTGTTGTTTAAAATCAACTTCCTGTCAAGGCTACTGTTAATAAATGAGTGGTTGTATATTTGATGGGTCAGGTCAATTTCCTTGGTAGTAAATAGGCCTTGCATTATTTGCTAAGTGCATTTTATACAATTTGACAACAGTGTGGTATTAATATTAAGTAATTTTATTAATATTTTGATGTCATTAATGTTAAGATATCCTAACAAAATACTAGATTATGTTTTGCAACAAAAAATAAATGGCTAATTTTATGTCCTCAAATTGAAGAACAATATAGTCCAAAATTATGTAGTGGAGATTTGTTAGCTTTCAGGATGTTCCTGAAATGTATGCTTATTAGCAACATACACTCAGTCTATATCAACATCATATAGGCCAAAATACAAATAAATGAGATAACAGGAAATAATTGTGCTTTTCCTCTTTATCAATAGTAATGCTCCCAAATTTTCACATTTATTCAGAGTTCTTACAGCTCAATATTGAATAAAATAGAATTTCATTTAAAAATTTTCCATAGTGTTTTTACTTCACCTTTGCAACTTAGCATTTTTGTTCTTTAGTTTTCATTGTTTACTTTCTAATCTTGTTGATTAATGTGTTGAGAATTCAGAACAAACTGTGGCAATAGCCTTCTCATTCCAGAATTAAATGAACGGGTTTAGAGTTGCATATCAATGAGAAATTAGATAATAATATAGCTTACATTCATTTAAGACCTGCAAATTGATCAAATGGAATACAAACCACATTTAAGAAAACTGTTAAAAAAAAAACACCTCCTCGGTGAGGGGCCAGCATTGTGACATAAGTTGCTGCATTCCACTTGGGTGTCGGTTCAACCCTGGCATTCCACATGTGTGCTGGTTCAAGACCCAGCTATTCCACATTGATCTAGTTCCCGGTCAATGTGTTTGGAATGTCAATGAAAGATGGTAAAATGTCATCTGGAGACCTGGAAGAAGCTCTGTGCTCCTGGCTTCGACCTCATATAGTCCTGGCTTTGTGGTCATTTGGGTAGTCAATCAGCAGGTGGTTGGTGTCTCTTTTCTCTCTTCTTCCATCCCTCCCTCTGTAATTCTGCCTTTCAATGGAATAAAAAATATCTCAAAAAAATGAAGAATGTCCAGTGACATAGTTTTACAAAGGTAGCTGTGAATACAGAAAAAAATAGTTTTCTTTTCAAGGGATTCAAGCTTCCAATGGAAATAGAATTTTCAATAGCATTAAAATTATATTACAAGAGACATGTATTATTTATCACACATAAGACCTTTGCTAAGGTAAGTATAATTCACTGTAGCAAAAGATAGCTAGAAAAAAATTAAATGTGATTATCAACCTACTACGTGTTACCAAGAACCTAATTTTCTGTATGTTAACACCTAAAATCATAATTTCACTTATGTGAAATGGCTTGTCTAGCTTGTCAATATAACATGAATGGGGGCCCAGTATGGTAGCCAGCAGCTAAAGTCCTTGCCTTTC